ATGCATGTTCCAACATTATATTCCCAGTCTATAGAGTGTCTGTAGAGCCATATTCCCAGTCCAGGTGTGTAAATATTCTTAAAATGGTGATTTTAAAATTTGAGGGAAAGTTCCCAAATTGCTTTGAGAAGCTGTCTTGCTTCAGAAATACACATACATGTGCACATGCAATGAGTGCATGTAAATATCAATAAACTACTGTAAATCACAGCATTGTTGATGCAATGGGATTTGACAAGAAAATACTCATATTGTTAATAAAAATGTAAGGAATACTCTTTTCAAAAGCAAGAGGAAAAAATGGTGACCACATCCATTCATATATCTGCCTCTTTTGCTAGCTCTAACAGTGATTTGGTTGATTCAAATGTGCCAGGCAGTTTTAAACATTGAGATTACTGATAGGAACAAAACAGACAAAAGCTTTCTTTTCTGTCTTTTGTATATCTAGTGAGGGAGATATAGTTCATAAACAAGTAAACAAATGAATACATAATATAATTCAAAGTAGCAATCTATGCTGTAAGGAAAATAAAGCAAAGTGAAGGGTAGCAAATAGAGGAAATTAAGCTCTCTCAGACAAGATGTACTGAGAAAGCTTTGTTTAGAAGGTGCTGTTTATGGAGATATGTGAATAATGGAGTGGGTTGAGTCCTGGGAAGCTCTGGTCAAAGAACATTCCAGACAGAGAAAGCAGCAAATACAGAAATTCTGAAACTGGAAGCCTCATGTCACACTCAGGGAATAGAAAGACAACCAGTATGGCTGGAATAAGTTAAGAGTGGTAAGAGGGAGATCTAAGAAATAGCAAGGGGCCAGACCTCCAGTGGTGTTTTACAACCCAAAGTAAAGAGTTTAGATTTATTCTGAGATGGGATTAGAGGATTTTGAGAACCAGGGATAGTAGGGAGCTCTGTTGAAGAGAATTGGGAGTAGAAGCAGGAGTAGAAGCATGGATGTGGGTTTACAGGATGCTTTCGCCATAGTACAGGCAGGAGATAATAATGGCTTAAACTCTAGCAATGTAAAAGTAATTAAACTTGGAATATATTTTGAAATTAGAACCAACATGCCTTGCTTGGTAGATTGGATAGTAGAAGGTGAGAGAAAAAATAATTCAACACGACTTCCTGTTTGTTTTGTTTTCTTTTGTTTTATTTGGGCAACTGGATATGAGGAATGACTTAAGGATATGTGAAAGCCTGGGAAGAAACAGGGTTTTGGGGTTTGGGGGGTTTTTTTAGTATAGAGGGTGATTAGTTCATTTTGTAAATAGACATCAAGTGGAGACATTGAGTGAGGTGGAAGAGGGCAGATACTTCTAAAATAATCTTTCAAGTCTATCAGCATCTGCCAAATGGAGGGTTGTTTACTTTTATGTCCCTACTTCCTAGTACTATATATGTAGAACCTGGTACAAAATAGATACACAACAGGTCCTAGGTGGGTGGGTGGGTGGATAGATAATGAGGCATACATTTACACATTTGAACAAATACATTGTCCTTTTTGTAATGGCAGTTATAGATATAAATAAGAATCAACCATGCTACCAAATATTTATTTATGTATTTATTTGTTTATTTTTCATTACATTCCTTATTACACATATAGAGCACTATTTTTCATATCTCTGCACATACAGTATGTTCTTGCCAATTTATGCCATTATATGTGTACTCTTTTTTTTGCATTATAATTCTTAATACACATATATACCACCATTTTTCATATCTCTATTTGTATATAAGGTATGTTGGCCCCAAATTCAAATCTTCATACATGTATTTTGTATAAGGATGACCATCACATTCCACCATCCTTGTTAATCCCCTTTACCCTCCCTTTCCCTCCCACCCCTCTTCCCTATCTAGAATTAATCTAATCTTCCCATGATCTCCCTCCCTACCCCACTATGAGCCACTGCCCTTATATCAGAGAAAACATTCGGCATTTGTTTTTTTGGGATTGGCTAACTTCACTTAGCATTATCTTCTCCAACATCATCCATTTACTTCAGTGTAATCCTGTTGTACTACTCTAAAATGTGAACCAGGTTTTATATATTTAAAAAGCAAGTTTAATGCCTACTTAGTAGCATATTTAAGTCCTATTACATCTTTGTGAGATGTCAGGATCTTCTAAACTATCTCTTTGAGAGGAAAATGGGAGTGGGTTTGTATAGTGGCTTTAAGTAAAAAACTGTTGGGTCCATCCAACTTTTTCTTATGTACCAAGTAGATTACTATTTGTTCATCTGCTTTCCAGTTTCAGATTTTTGTATCTCATTTTTCTTCTTCCATTCTTGTTGTTCATTAGATTTATATCTTTTAAAATAAGTTTCTTTATTGCCATTTTAGTGGGGATTTAGAAGAGAGAGTTACTATATGCATTTAGTTTGCAGTCTTTAACTGGCATTATCTTTTAAAGATTCAGTTTAACTTAATTTATTGTGGTTTTAGTCATATAGAAATTTTCAATTTGTATGTATTCAGATCTGTTCATATTTCTCATTGTAATTTATGGATTTTCATCAACTCCACAAAGTCCTTCATAAACAAGAAACTTGAATGATCTTCTCCTATATTTACTTCTAACACTTTTTCAGTTTTGTTTTTTAATGAAAGAAAGTGATTTTGTGTGTATTTTGTAAAAATGTAATGATTTAACTTTTTTTCAAATTGTTAGCGGATTTTTCCAACACATTATTGATTGGACTACTCTTTATATTGAATAAAACTACTTGTTATATAGTATTTTATATTTTTACTTCCATTTTTGACTTAAGTCTGTTTTTAGAAATCTTTCTTAATTAAGTACTAAAAGCTCCTCTATTATGGAATCTACTCTATGTACTGGCAATCATATACCTCTAGGAAATTACAGTTTTTGAATCAGTATTTTTAATGATTTTACAGCCAGTCTTATTTTTGTAAATGATATTTTTAAAATTACACTTTGAATTTTTTTGATTATATAGAAATGTAATATTTCTTCTATTGATTATGAAATCATGACAGCAACATTGCTAATATTTCTTATTCTCTATAAATTCATCTTGGTTTTCTATACTAACAAATATCTATGGGCAATGGTATTTTGTTGTTTCTTTCTTTGCAGTCTTTTGATCTTGTATTTCTTTTCATTGCCTAATTTAACTGGTTGAGACCCCCAAATTCAATGTTAAATAGGAATGAGACATGGGTTTCTTTGAATTGACTTTTTTTTTTTTAAAGGGGAACGCTTTTAATGTTTCACCACTGCACATAACATTTGCTATGGGGTTTTTGTTTGTAGATGTCATTTATCAAATTAGAAAATTCTCTTCTGTCCCAGTTTACTACCTTTTTTCTTTTATTTTTTAAATATTACAAAATATTAAATATTTTGAATGAGAATATTTTTGTATTGATTTTTTTGTACTATTATGGGGATTGAACCCAGGAGCACTATATACTGTGCTATATCCTTATACTTTTTTAAATTTTTGTTTTGAGACAGGGTATGGTTATAAATTGCCTGGGCTGGCCTGGAACTTGCACTTCTCCTGCCTCAGCTTCCCAAGTAAATAGGATTATAGGCATATACCATCATGTCCCAGCCTCTACATTTACTTCGATAGTATATTTTACCTTAGTTAGGTGCATTGCATTGTAGATTTTCTAATGTTGAACCAATCTTGCAACATGGATAAAGTCAACTTGGTAACAGTGAATTTTCTTTTAAACACTGCTGATTTGAGTTGTTAATACTTCTTGATTGGAATTTTTATATCTCTATTCATGAATGAAAGTGGGGTATAATTTACTTCTTGTAATGTCTTTGATGGGTTTTAGTGTCAGTGTTATGCTAACATCATAATAGAAGATAAGGAATATCTCTACTTCATTCTAAAAGATTTTGAGTAAAAATGATATTATCAGTCCTCTGAGTGGTAGAATTCTAGGTAAAACCCAAAGGACTTGACTTTTTCATTGTGGGGGAATTTTTAATAACTGATTCAGTAGTTGTAGGACTTACTTCTTTTCTGTTGAGTTTTGATCAGTTTATGTTTTGTAAAATTTTTCCACATATTTTAAGTTTGATGTAAATTTATTTATAACAGTCCCATTATCTATCTAATCTTTGTGTGTGATAGTGTCCCACTTGTCATTTCTAATCCTATTTATCTGTACTGTTACTCTTTTTCTTGATCATTCTGATTGGAAGTTCGTTTAATTTTATTAATTACTTCAAAGAAAAGATTGATAGTTATGTTGATCAGTGTTATTTTATCTTTGTTTTCTGTTTTATTAAATTCTGCTTTTATCTTTATTATTTCCTTCTTTGAGTCTTTGATGAAAAGTTTTCCCTAACTTCTAATGCAGTTTGAACAGCCCTAATCTGAAATGCTTCAAAATTAAAAAATGCTTTTGGTGCTGGGGATCAGACCTAGGGACTTGCATATGCTAAGAGGACTCTTCCACTGAACTATACCCCATCTCAAAATTCGAAAATATTTGAATGCCAACATAATGGCACTTCATATGATAGTTCACAGACAAAACATAACTAAACATATTGTATAAGATTAACTTCAGGCTATGTTTTTTTTTTAAACAAAAGGTGTATATGAAGCCTAAATGCTTTTTGAGTTTTGAGCTTGGTCTCATCCCCAAGTAGCTCATTATACATACTCTCAAATATTCTAAAACCCTAAAAAATTTGAAATCTGTAACACTTTTAGTCTCAAGCATTTCAATAAGGGATATTCAACTTGTACTAGCATTTGAAGTTATATATTTTCCTACTCCTTTTTTATATGTGTGTAGTACAAAATTGGTAATTGAGAATTTCAAGGGTGGAGAAAATGATCCTATTCTAACTTCTAAATTGCCACTGTTAGTTGTGCCTAAAATTCCTAGTGCTTCCCATGTCAAACAATATGATTTCGATACATACCTGAGAAAATCAGACTTAACTAATAATGTTTTAATGTCATCTTGTTTCACCCTTATTAGGACTCACCTTTATTTGATCTTATTAAACAATCCAAGGACCGAGAGGGACCAGCTGATCACCTTGAATCTGCTTGTTCTCTCAACCTTCCTTTCCAGAATAATCACACTGCAGCAGATATGTAAGTAGAACACATTATGTCATCCTTTGAAATTGCAGATATGTCTTGAGCATAAGGGTACTATATAGAAGTTGTATAGAATAGATTTTTGCATAAGGTATTGTTACTGCTTTCAAGAATTAGGAATGTAACATATATGACCTAAATAAGGTCATATGAAGGAACACAAAGTGCTACTGAATCATATAGGATTGGTGTTATGAGAACAGTTTTCATTGCACAGATGGCAATTTAGATAGGCTTTAAGGATTGAATAGGATTTCAGCACAAAATTAGGGAAGTGAGAGGAGACAGACTAGTGTTCTAAGAGCCAGAAATGACATGAACTGATAAAAGCCAGAGTAGCAGGAAACATTTTTCAGAGAACATAGATCAATCCCTTTGGATGAAGCATGGGGTAAATCTAGGGAGCAGTATGAGATATGGACTGAAACAGTTGATTAGAGCAAGATGATGGTACAAGCAAAAAGCAAAAGCCAACATGTATTGAGAAGGCTTAGTGTGTGTTGGGCTGTTACCTAAGTACTTCATGTTCATGTTTTTCATTTAATTTTCATACCTGTTTTATAAGATATTAGATACGCTGTCTACCTCATTTATCTATAAAATAGGAGAAATAAAGTAACTTGCCTAAGGTCAACAGAAATCTAACCCAACCAGTTTGACCCCAAAACCCATGCTTTTAATTTCTCTAGCTATACTGCCTTTCATAGAAATGTGCTTAATGTTATGGACCTGTTCTGTGTATTAATCAACATTACAGTGTTATGCAATTGGTATAGAAACCACTTTCCATAGGTGTCATTTTCATTCTAACTTGTATCCAAACTGTTCCTAGCATATAGAGACTCTCCATTCATGTATATATTTGTTTACTAGGCAAGTTTTATATAAATAAATCAAGCTTTATTTTTTTCTTTAATTAAATAAATAGTTCTGTTAAATGCCAGGAAGTATTGTAGGCACTGAGAAGACAAAAGTAAAATGGTCTTTCTCCTTCATAGAGCTTTATGTTCTGGAGGAAGGAAGCAGTGAATAAGTAAACCAACATGTAAGTCGATTTTAGAGTATAATAAGTGGTATAAATGAAATGAATAAAGTGATATGAAGGAGAAACTAGAGGGCAATGGAATATTTAGAATTATATTATAGTATATATTAAAAGAGTTAGACATACTATAACGAACAGAATAGTTTTTCTTTCTCTAATGAAGTGATATTTTGACCTGATACCGGAGGGACAAGTGGATGCTGGGCAGGCAGAAATCTTTATGTTGTAGGGCAGACGGAACTTGACTGGCATGAGGACTAGCATGGTATCCAGAATGCATGGGTTATAGAGAGTATGAGAATGGTGCACAGTGAAGTTGGAGTGGCAGACCAGGTCTGGATTTTGTAGGTTCCCACAGGCCATAGTAAGCAGTTTGGATTTTATAAGAGCGGTGGGAAACCATTTAGCAGGAATGCAACTTGTTTTATTTGTATTTTTAAAGGACCGAAGTCTGGTTGCTATTTGAAGTACCAGGTGGGTCTGGGGGAGAAAAAGGGTCAGGACAGGAAAGAAAGTGGAAAGACCATTTGGAAGACTATTTCAGTAGTTCAAATGAGGGATATGGGTGACTTAGTCTAAGATATAGCATTAAAGGTAGAAATGAGAAAGATATGAGGTGCATTTAGAGATATACTTAATAAGTTTTACAGAGTTTTATATCAGATTTGAGGAACTTAGGAAACAGTGAAATTAAAATAATTACAAATTCTAGGTTTTTTACTTATTAATAAAATGTGTGGCCATTTTTTGAGATGAGAAAAAACTGAGAAGAAGAAATCCAGAGTTCTACTTTGACCTTATTAAGTTTGAGATGCAAGTAATGATACCCATTATTAGGTAGTTGGATATTTGTATCAGGACTCAAAGGAGACTAACTTTGCCTAAGTTAGTCTATAATTTTCAGTTAAAAAACTGAAAGGAAGACCAAAGAGAATAAGAGACCAGGCCCTGGTACTTATAAAATTGTGCTGGTGAGTCTCTTCCTATTGCACTAATTAACATACTGCATGTAGTGGAAATACTCATATTAGGGTACAAATTCTACTTCCTCTTCAGAGTTATTTCTCTGCTATTAAAACAAAACAAAATAAAATCATAGACATGGATTATTCTATTAAATAGAGGATAATATAAAACAAAAGAATTGCTATAAATTGAGAGAGAATATTTGCTGATATCCCTGCCTTGATTTATTCCTGGCATATTTAGTAAACAGGTATAAATCTGTCTTGATCATGTTATTTGAAGTACTAAGTCATAGAATTCTGTGCTACGTAATTTCGGAGAGTGTGTGTGTATAACTTAAGTCAACATGTATATGAATCATAGTTATCAGTAAAAAAATTTAGCAGGAGAATCAGAGACACATGACAACACTGGTATTAGTAACTTGTTTTTTAAGCTGAAGTTATTTTATGGACTAAATCTTACTACTACTGTTAAAATTGTGCATATACAGCCAGCTATTGTTTTCCCAATAAGTAATTTCAGGGAAAGCCACTTATTAAAAGTGTTAGACATACTATAACGAACATGGTTTTCCTATTAAGCTATTGTTCCCAACTTGTATTTAAATAGCCTGCTTGGGGAAACTGACAGAAAACCACAGATTAAATACATGGATGTGTCTAGGTATATGTGTGTAACATGTATGTATGTGTATGACTCTTAGGAAATTTCAAATGAGGACTTTTTCTTTTGAATACATCTAGGTATCTTTCACCTGTAAGATCCCCAAAGAAAAAAGGTTCAACTACACGTGTAAATTCTACTGCAAATGCAGAGACACAAGCAAACTCAGCCTTCCAGACTCAGAAGCCATTGAAATCTACCTCCCTTTCACTCTTTTACAAAAAAGGTTAGTAGAAGATTACTTTCAAGAGCATGGGCTCTATAACCAGGCTGACTAGGTTCAAATCCTGTCTCTTCAACTTACTTGGTTGGACCTTGAGCAAGTCACTTAATATCTTTATGCCTTAGTTTCCTCATCTATAAAATGAAAAGAAAATAATAATAATTTACCTTATAATACGAATAAAAATTACCTTGTAGGGTTTTCAGGATAATTAAATAAATTATTACATATAAAATGCTTCTAACAGGGCCTACCACATAGCACCCAGAAAAGTTTTGATGTTAGGAATGCTGCATTTCCATTGTTATACCTTCAAATTAATGTTTAGAAATATTTGCCCAAATATTACTATTTTACTATTCAGGCATATTTAGTGTTGAGATTATTTTGTGTGTTACTGACAGTGCAAGCACATTCCCTGGATATTTTTAGGACATTTAACAAGTCTAGTAACCAGTTTGTATTATATTCTCTGATTGAATGTATATATGGTGGGGTGGGGAATTTATTTTGCATATCTATACATGTATATAAACATATAAGTCCATACCATCTTAGAGCCCTCTTAAGGAGACTAAAAGATCCGATTCCTCTGTGATAAGAATTTTTACTGATTTTATTCAAATCAAAAATATATTGAGACTTATACAAACATTGTAAGACTTAGGGCAGTGGTTTTCAAAGGGTAGGCCCCAATCAGCAGAATCCATGTCTCCTGGAAAGTTATAGAAATGATAATTTGGGGATCTACCTGTATCTACTCAATCAGAAATTCTAGGATAGGGTCCTAGAACACTCTAGGCAAGTAGAATATATGCTCAAGTTTTAAAACACCCAGGACAAATGGTTAACTTTAAAAAGTTACCTGGGGCTGGGGTTATGGCTCAGTGGTAGAACATTTGCCTAGCCTGTGTGAGGTACTGGGTTCCATCTTCAGCACCACATAAAAATAAATAAAATAAAAATATTGTGTCCAACTACAACTAAAAGAAATTTTTAAAAAAGTTTTGTTTACCTATGGAAGTCTTTAAAGACCCATCTTAAACCAAGACTCTTTGTATTTAAAACAGACAAAAATTCAGTTTTGTCAACTCCTTTTCTCTAAACCTGTATTTCCAATAATATTTTAATATACTCTGAATAAACTTCGTATGACAGTTTTGCTCTACTTCAATAATATACACATCTACCATTTTTCAAGAGTTTGTTGGTATTTTATAATGAAACGTGGTTTGATTTTTTCTTTTAGGATTAGAAAAATTAGTAAACACTGACAATGCCATTATTTTTAAAATAATTATCCCTCTTGACTATTGATAGTAGGAATTTCCAACATCTGTAATGAGTGATTACCAACAGAATGGAAGCAAATTCTATTTGGTTTGTCTAATTTCACAATATCTTATGGGCTATCCTCCTCTACCTTCTACCTCTGCCTTAGTTTTATAATATAATAGTTGTTCATCAAGTATTGTGCCTTCCTAGTATTGTGCCTTCTATTGTGCTATTAATAGGAATTATTTATTCATAAAGAAAATAGTGGTAGAGGTGAGGTTACTGTTAAGTTGCTATTTAAAAAGAATAATGATATAGCAAATTAATGATTTTTTAAAAGTCTACTTGTGATTGAAAATGAACAGTAAATATGGTTCATTTCCCCTTACTTTTGCAGTGTACCGGCTAGCATATCTCCGACTAAATACCCTATGTGCACGCCTTCTGTCTGATCACCCAGAACTAGAACACATCATCTGGACCCTTTTCCAGCATACATTGCAAAATGAGTATGAACTCATGAGAGATAGGCATTTGGATCAAGTAAGAAAATTGAACACTTTGCCTTTTCTTCTCTCTACTTATTTAACTGTGTACTGATTTCTTTAAAATAAATAAATAAACAAGATAGGATTGAAATAAGAAGATTGATTAACTTAGTAAATTTTATATATTCGCTTGCTGGCTGCCATTTATATTTTTGTTATAATCCTTACAAATTAGAGTTTTAGAGTTCAAGAGTATATGTCTATAACTACTTATTTAGTGATACATTCTTATCTTTTGAAAAATAACTAAAGAACCTGTTTATTGTCAGCTTTTTGTGTTTTAGTAAGCTAGATTCATTTTAGTGTAGAAAAAGCATGAAACTTAAAATTATTTGATCTAAAGCAGTGCCTATTTAATGAATGAAGTTTATAAACATAATTATTTCTTATGTCCTCCTTTTTCATATCTCTTTATCTCTCCCCACTTTCTCTCTCTCACCCAGAGGTGCTTAATCACAAGCCACATCACCAGCCCCTTTTTATATTTTTTTAGTGACAGGGTCTTGCTGAGTTGTTTAAGGCTTCACTGAGTTGCTGAGGCTGGCTTTGAACTTTGAATTCTCCTGCATCACCCTCCCAAGTCACTGAGATTTCAGGTGTGCACCACCACACCCACCTTCCATCTCTTAAAATGGGTTAAAGAACAATATTTGGGGGGGGGTAATAGCTTATCAATATAATTTATGTATACAAATCACCCATTAGAAGTACACAATTCAGTGGTTTTTAGTCTATTTTGAGTTGTTTCATTTTAGAGCACTTTTTTTGACCATATAATTGTATTTATATGAAATGTATAGAATAAGCAAATATAGAGACAGAAGGTGGATTAGAGCTTGTCAAAGACTGGTGGGATGGGAACCAGGGGTGAGTTAGTGAACTTATTTCATTTCTGTGACCAAAAGACCGAACAAGAACAGCATAGAGGAGGAAAAGTTTATTTTGGCCCATGGTTTCAGAGGTTCTCAGTTCATAGTTGGCTGACCCTTTAGCTCTGTGCCCAAAGTGAGACAGAATATCATAACAAAAGGGTGTGGTGGAGGAAAGGAGCTCAGGACATAGCAACCAAGAAGAGAACTCTACTCATCAGGGATAAAATATAACCCTAAAGGCACAACCTCATTGTCCTACTTCTTCCAGGCACACCTACCTGCCTACTTTGCCGCCCAGTTAATCCACATTTGTGGATTTATCCACTGATTAGATTAAAACTCTCATAACCTGACAGTTTTCCCAGCGAAAATTCTTTTATTATCTCACACATGAGTTTTTGGAGGATACTTTATGTCTAAACCATAACATTCTGCCGAGGCCAAACCTCATGCCCATCTCACATTCAAAATGTATTTGGTCCATTTCCAAGAGTTCCCATAGTCTTAACAGTTCCAGCATTATCAAAAGTCCAAGTCTAATATCTGATCTGAAACTCAAGGCAAACTCAGCTGTAAGAGTAAAGATCAAGGGGCTGGGGTTGTGGCTCAGAGGTAGAGCGCTCGCCTGGCATGTATGGGGCACTGGGTTCCATCCTCAGCACCACATAAAGTAAAGTAAAGACGTTGTATTCATCTATATCTAAAAAATGAATATTAAAGAAGAATAAAGATCAAAAGCAAGTTACATATATCCTTTACAATAATGGCACAGAGTAAACATTTCCATTCCAAAAGGGAGAAATAGGGCATAGAAAGAAGTGGTGGGACCAAAGCAAAACTAAAATCTATCTAGGCAAACAAGTCCTGTACTTCCCATGTCCAACTTTGGGAGCACATGGTATCATAAAGTTCTCTCCAAAAGGCATGTGTTGCTTTGTTGTCCCTATGGCCTTGTTGGTTGCAGCCCACATAGCCTCTCTTCTCGGCTTATTTCTTCTTAATTCCCCCAGCTTTCCTCAGCTTGATACACATTGCTGGCATCTTTAATCTCAGGGGTCTCCGCTGCAGTTTCAGCTTCCTTCTCACATCTTCACACATCATCCTCTCAAAGGTAGTCTGCAGGGATTCTGACCCTGCTAGACTTTGGCTTCCTAGAACCTCCCTTTGAAATCTCTGTGGAAGCCTCTATGAACCCCTAACTCTAGTGTCCTGATTTTCTGCAAAATCAACACTACATGGTTGACACCAATAGCCAAGGTCTGCCACCAGTAGCCAAGCTTTGTGGGACCACAGCTGTAGTCTCTGAGTGCCTGGGTGGCTGAGCACAGTGAAACAACTTCCAAGGCCACATGTTCAAGCAGGGTGCCCACTTTTTCTCAAAGGAAATTTTACTTTTACATCCTTGAGCCTGAGATGGGTCTTACCAATTTTTGAGATGCTCTAGCCATCTTTCCTATTGTTTCTGAATAAAATACTTAACATTTCTTTAGTGGTTCTTTAACAACCATACCTTCCTTTGCTCCAGTTTTATTCAGACTTTTCTGGCCAAATTGAAAGGTTTTCAAATCATTCTACTTTTTTTCTCCTGATTATCACAGTAAACTTGGATAAATAACACCAGCAATATTCATGCTGTGCTGTCTGGAAATTTCCTTCACCAGATTAATTAATACATCATTTTTAAATTCAACCTCGCAGAAAGTCTCAGGACATGGGCAAAATGTAGACAACTTTTTTGCCAGACAAAGCATGAATGGCCTCTAGTCCAATTTCCAATAGACTCCTCCTCTTTTTAGACTTAATGAGTCCAAACTTTATTGTCCACAGTCCTATTGGCATTCTGGTCTTCTTCGCTCCCACCAGAATCACCCATTAAGCTCCACTTACAACATTATAAAGCTTTTCCAACTTGCATCTCTAAACTTTCCAAAATTCCTATAAACCAGATCCAAAGGCTTCTGAATCACATGGTCAGGTTAGTCACAGCAGTAACCCTACTTCTCTATACCAATTTCTGTTTTAGTCAGTTTTTTCATTGTTGTGACCGAAAGACCCAGCAAAAACAATGTAGACGAAGAAAAGAGTATTTTGGCTTACAGTTTCCAGAGGTTCTTAGCCTGTGGTTAGCTGACTCCATAGCTCTGGGCCCAAGGTGAAACAGAACATCATGGAAGAACGGTATGGAGGGAAGCAGCTCAGGATATGGCAACCAGGAAGAAGAGATTTTAGAGCATTTTCGTCACACCAAAAAGAAACCCCCTTATCTTGCAGGAATAAACCACCCCCCAACCCCCACTTCTTCAGCCCTAAGCAACACTAACCTAGTTTCTGTCTCCAGATTTGTTCTGGATATTTCTGTATAAATGGAATAATATAATATGTGATTTTTTGTGTTTGAATTATTTTATTAGTATGTTTTCAAGGTTCATTTGTGTTATAATTTGTATTGGTCTTTATTCCTTTTTATTGCCAAATAATGTTCTGTTTTATGAATCTGAACCACATTTTTATCATTCATTAATTGATGGACATGGTTTTTGACTATTATAACTATTATTATTATGAATATTCATGTACAAATTCTCATATAGACATATACTTTCAGTTCTCTTGAGTATGTATCTAAGAGTGAAATTGCTGGATCATATTATAACTCTGTTTGACCTTTTGAGGAATGGCTAGGTTGTTTTCCAAAGTGGCTGTGCCATTTTACATTCTACCAGTCATGTATGAGTTTCAGGTTTCTCTCTATCTTTACTAACTTACCTTTTTTATTATAGCCATGGCAGTGGGTTTGATGTGGTACCTCATTGTGGGCTTGACTTGCGTTTCTATGATAGCTAATGACGTTTAGCATCTTTTCATGTGTTGATTGGTCATTTGTATGTCTTTTTTAGAGAAATGTCTATTTACAGCCTTTATGTGTTTTAAAATTATATTATTTATTTTGTTCTTAATGACTTACAAGAATTCTTTATATATTCTACACCCAAGTTCATTATGAGATATATGATTTGCAAATATTTTCACTCATTCTGAGTTGTGTTTCACTTTCTCTCATTTTATGAGTTGGTGTCCTTTGAAGCACAGAAGTTTTTATTTTTATCAAGTTCAATTGATCTATTTTTCTCTTTTATTACTAGGTCTATTGCCAAATCTGAGGTTATTATGACTTATTCATCCCTATTTTCCTCTAAGAGTTTAAACATTTTTAGCTCTTACACTTAGGTTCTTTTGAACTAATTTTTGTAGCTGGTATATTAGTTATCTTTTTGTCACTGTGAATAAAGTACCTGAAAAAAACAACTTTAAAGAGGAAAAGATTTATTTGGCTCATGGTTGCAGAGGTTTCAGATCATGGATGGTGAATTCTATTGCTTTGAAAGGCCTGAGTGAGGCAAGACATTGTAGCAGAAAGGCACCGAGAAGGAAAGCTTCTTAGCTCATGTTAGCCAGGAAGGAGAGAGGAAAAGAAGAAGGAGGAGAAGGAGGAGCTGGGAACAACAAATAACTGTTCCAGGGCATGCCCCCAGTGACCTTCTTCCTCCAACCATGCCACACTCTCTACAGTTTCCAACACCTCCATTCAGCTCTCAATGGATTAATCCATTGGTGAGGTCAGAGCTCTCATGATCTAATCACTTCTTGCACCTCTGAGCATTGCAGCATTGGTAGCCAAACCTTCAACATATGAGTTTTGGGGGACCTTCCAGAGCCGAACCATAACAAGTAGTATGAGATCCAGCTTCATTTTTTTGTTGTTGTTATAGAATACTAGTTATTCCAGCATTCTTTCATCTCTCTTCCTTTCCTTTTCCTTACCCCCTTTCTTCCTTCTTCTAGAAATTGAACACAGGACCTATATATGCTAGACAGGTGCTCTGCTAAGCTATTCTCCTGGTCCTATCCTCAACCACACCAGTTCTTGAAAAGTTCTTTCTTTCCCCCATTGACAGCATCTAAAAATCAATGGGTTACAACTGTTCAAGTGTTTTCTGGACATTAAATTCTATTCTGTTGATTTATAGAGCTATTCTTAAGCCAGGACTATATGTGTGTATATATATATGTATATGTATATGTATATGTATATATTTGGTACTGGGGATTGAATCCAGGGGCACTTTATGACTGAACTACATCCCCAGTTTGTTTTTTTGTTTTTTGGGACAGGATCTCACTAAGTTGCTAAGGCTAGCTTTGAATTTGTGATCCTCCTGCCTCAGCCTCTCATAGTCTCTGGGATTAAAGATCTGTGCCATGATGCCTGGTTTACACTGCCTTGACTAAATTAGCTTTGTAGTAATATTTTGAAATAAGGAAGTATGGGGAACATATATTTTTTTTTCAAAATTGATTTGACTATTCTGAAGCTTGTATTTGCATATAAATTTTAGGATTGGCTTGTCAGTTTCTGTAAAGAAGGTTTTGAAAGAAATTGCATTAAATTTAAAGTCAATTTGGGGAGCATTGTCATTTTAACAGCATGTTTTCCAGTCCGCGTACATGTGATGTGTTTCCATTCATTTGGATCTTTTTATGTTTTATAACATGTTTTTGTAATTTTCAGAATATTTATTAAATTTATTCCCAAGTATTTTATTATTTTTAATACTATTATAAATGAAATTATTTTCTTAATTTTATTTTTGGATCATTCATTGCAAGTATATAGAAATATAATTGATTTTTGGTATATTTATTTTTGTATCCTTCAACTTTGCTAAATTTCTTTATTAGTTCTAATAATTTTCAAGTAGATTCCTTAAGACTTTTTATATATTAGATCATGTCATCTGTGCATAGAGATAGTCTTACATCTTTCTTTTCAATCTGAATGCCTTTCATTTTCTTATTGGATTTCCATGGCTAGAACCTAGAGGTTGAATGGAAATGGCTTAAAAGGGGATATCCTTGTCTTGTTCTTGATATTAGAGGAAGACATTAACTATGTTGTTGCTAGGTATGGTGGTATATACCTGTAATCCCAGTTACTTGGGAGGCTGAGACAAGAGAATGACAAATTCCAGGCCAGCTTCAGCAACTTCGTAAGACCCTGCCTCAGAATTAAAAATAGGGAGATGGAGTGGGTCAAGCTCATGTAGAACAGCCCTGGGTTCAATCCCCAGTGCTTTGGGGGAAGTGATTGGCTCATGAATGCTCTGACTTCACAAGTGAATTAATCCATTGATAATTGAATGTACTATAGGGATGTATTGGAAACTGTAGGCAGTGGAGCATGGTTGGAGAAAGGTCGTGGGGATGTGTCCTGGAAGGGTGTGTGTCTCTGTGTGTTTTTAATATGCCTTTTGATGGATTGAGAAAGTTTCCTTCTTATCTTATTTTCTTGAATACTCTTATCATGAAAAGGTATTGGATTTTGTCAAGTGCTTTCTTTATATCTATTGGATGTGAGATTTTTTTCCTTTATTATACTGGCATGGTATATTACATTAATTTGTTATCAAATGTTAAACCCATCTTGCATTTCTGGAATAAATCCCACTTGGTCACAATACATAATCCTTTTGATATGATTCTGGATTCAGTTTGTCTGGGCTATAATTTTGCTGAGAACTTTTACATGTATAATCAGAAAATGCATTTATAGTTTTCATATGATATCTTTATCTAGTTTTGGTATCAGAGAAATAAATACTAGCCTCATAGAATTACTTGGGAACATTTCTAATTTCAGAAGAGTTTGTGAAGAATTATTATTAAGTTTCCTTTAAATATTGATAGAATTCTCCAGCAAAGCCATTTTGGCTAGGGCTTTTGTTTGTGAATAGTTTTGTTATGTTTTCCTTTTTTTGTTTTGTTTCTTTCTTTCTTTTTTGGGGGGGGTCGGTGGTGGTACTGAGGATTGAACCCAAGGTGTCTACCACTGCCCCCCCCCTTTTTGAGACAGGGTCTCACTAAGTTGCTGAGGCCAAGTATCAAAAAAAAGAAAAATATGAATGGGCGAAAAGGATACATTGATGGCATTGTAAGTGAAAGGAATAGTAAGTTCAGATTTGATAAGATGCTGAGCAAGGGATGGTGGTTAGGTATTCTTGACAATAGTGGATGTAAACAAAATGTTGCAGAAGTGATACATACTTAAATTAGACAAGAAAGTTCATGCAGATTAAGAAAGTGTGATGTTTTAAAGTCACAGAAAGTCATTTTCAAATCTTATTTTTGCATTTAAAATATATTTTATTGAAAATATCTTTTATTGAAATACCATATAAAAAAATCCATCTCTCAAAAGGAGTCATGCTAATGAAAAGAAACAGAACATGATCAACAATTCAAAAGTCTCTCTTTTGTTGCCTTCCAGTCATCAGTTCCTCCATACCAACACCACATATATTAAACAGTTTATCCAATGCTTTGAAACTTTCATACCTGATTTTTTTTTTAATTTAAGTGGTAATTATACAATTAACCAATTCCAGTTTCAACACTGCTGGGGAAAAATTAAAGAACAAGAGCCAAAGTTAATGTAATTTACCAATCAGATAATCAGTCCTGAATAATTGAAAGTTGGTTATTTGCATTTTGTTATTTAAATACAGTTTGGGCTAAACATTTTACATCGACTTTCAAATGGAGCTTAGGATGAAAATAAAATAACCCTATAGAAATTAGATTTCCCTCTTTTGAAGCTAACCGAAAGATAACAGAGTGCTTTTCAGAGAAAAACCATGTAATTAAATTGTACTTTTACATCTCATTTATTTATTAGATTATGATGTGTTCTATGTATGGCATATGCAAAGTGAAGAATATAGACCTTAAATTCAAAATCATTGTAACAGCATACAAGGATCTTCCTCATGCTGTTCAAGAGGTAGGTAATATTTCATGGTAAGATTTTTTAAAATAAATCCATATTTATAATATAGATAATTTAAGTCATTAATAAGATTATATATTCTGACAGTGTGTAAATTCACAAATCAAATTTTTTATTTTATATTACCGATTATCTGTAACTAAAATGGAATTGGAAAGCTAAGGCAGATTTTGAAATCATCTAAATTCATCATTTAACTTAATAAATAATACTATGTGCAGTAAGCAAGACATTTGTAATAAATTTGATGTAAGTAATAGGATATTAGATGTTAAGTTATTTTTATTACTCTATAAGAAATGCCAGTGTAAATGCAGCCTTATAAAGAAATAATGAAAATTTTCCTTGTAAACACATTTTGTGCTTCTAGTTTACCTCCCCTGTAGGCAAGTAGTATTAATAAAATACACTTGATGTGACATACATTTCATACCCTCCTATGATAAGTGAGTAATTTTTCCAGCTTAATATTGGAGTTTTCAGAAGTAATACAGACCAGGTTATTTTTATGTATTTATATGTTATCATGAGCAATTATTTTTTAAATCCAGTCATTTTAATTGTGTGTTTCAGAGGCATTCTATAAAATCCTGTGGTTTTACTGAACTAAAATTTAAGTAAAATCTAGCAGTCAAAAAAGAAATAGTGCTTTTACTAAATGTCTACTTCTTGCAATGGAATAATGTACACTTCTTGAACCCTTTAGATGTTGGGGATCAGGGAGGTACAGAGAATATAATCGAAATATTGATGTCTTTTGATCAGCTCTGATCTTTGCTTCCCATAATGCTTTCCACCCTGTCAGCTTGTCCACTTCTGTCTTTGGGGATATTTGTTTGTTCCATGTACTGACTAGTAGTTACCCTTTGAATCATTCTGGGACGTTCCACTTCTAGTTGAGCATACAGAATCCAAGCCTAAGAAGGCTTTTTCAGATGATTTTTTTCTGTATAATATATACTTCTTACTGTTAAAAAAGTATTACAAACTATTAAGGAAGAAAATCTGAAGAGAAAAATTCTTAATAAGTGTTTTTATTATTCTTCCTCAGACATTCAAACGTGTTTTGATCAGAGAAGAGGAGTATGATTCCATTATAGTATTCTATAATTCAGTTTTCATGCAGAGACTGAAAACAAATATTTTGCAGTATGCTTCCACAAGGGTATGTTTAAATTATCCTTTGGGGAAATCTAATTATAAAGTAATGGATCTTATTACAACATTAAATAAATAACCTGCTTCTTGTTTTTGCTCTAGCCTCCTACCTTGTCACCAATACCTCACATTCCTCGAAGCCCTTACAAGTTTTCTAGTTCACCCTTACGGATTCCTGGGGGGAACATCTATATATCACCCCTGAAGAGTCCATATAAAATTTCAGAAGGTCTGCCAACACCAACAAAAATGACTCCAAGATCAAGGTTGGTATTTTCTCTTTAGGAAAGTGATAAGAAGTAAGGGGATAATTTTGATCCAAGAATAATGTAAAGCTTTCTTTGTTTAAAATAAGCTAAAGAATAATGTAAAGCTTTCTTTGTTTAAAATAAGCTAGACTCTTGAATTTCTAATTTGCTTTTTTATATTAAGCAACATGACAAGAATTTAGGGGGGGGAAATCTGTTTACTTGGATGAGTTTGAAAATTTTGTCATCAACTTTAGTTTAGTGTCTCCTTTTGTGAATATCTGATAACCAGTTTGTACATTTCAAAACACTTTGATATTTTTACAAGTAGCCAACGTGAGAAACAAAGTAGATTCAGATTAAAAATTCTTCAGGTTAAAAATTTTTATTTTACAGTTTACTGGATTTCCTGTGAACTCTGTCTGAAGACCTTGTTCATTTTGCATGGATATGACTTTAAATATAGATGACTGTCAATTTAAGTCTTTAGAGGCCCATCCCTAACTCTGCCAGTGGCCTCTTTATATTACTTTGGGCAGATCTCTCTCTACTTTAGAAGGGTGCTATGGATCAGTGAAGTGATGAGTGCAAAGTTGTTTTAAATTCTCAGTTGAAAGCTTCTGTATAACTATAAATCATTATATTATCTTCCAATCCAATCATAAGTTCTCTCTGGCTTTGAAGTTCTTCAGTTGAATAATTATATGTTATCATGGGCTATTAGAAACTGACTTTACTTGTATAAAGTAGGAGGCAGATTAGCTAGTATATTTAATGTAGTCTCATCCCAGAAATGGTCAACCTATATAGTTGTACCTAATGGGCAAGAAAAATAAAAAAAGGAGAAGGGGCTATATTAACTGTTTAGAAATATCTATGTGGTGGGTTTAATTACATGAGTAATGCACACCTGATAAAAATTTCAAATTCTAGGGGCTGGGGATGTGGCTCAAGCGGTAGCGCGCTCGCCTGGCATGCGTGCGGCCCGGGTTCGATCCTCAGCACCACATACCAACAAAGATGTTGTGTCCACCAAGAACTAAAAAATAAATATTAAAAAAAATTCTCTCTCTCTCTCTCTCTCTCTCTCTCTCTCTCTCTCTCTCCTCTCTCACTCTCTCTTTAAAAAAAAAATTTCAAATTCTAAAGAAAAGCATGAAATAAAAAAATAATTGAAAATATGATAAGTGTTCCTGTGTACCCCTGTATCTTTCTTTTATTCATTTGATAATTGAAAATCCTATTCTTATATCTACAGCTTACATTATAAACTATGAAGATAACATCATGTCTATTTAGGAAATTTATACAGTCCTGTGCTGCCACATGAAAATATATTCTTATATAGTTTTAAACCATGATGTTTTGTATTGTTTTTCTTTAGTAAAAAAGTCACATTCTGAATATCCTAACCCATAAATCATTGATTGGGCATTAAGAAAGTAATATCTTAACACTCTATTTATGTAGCCTATTTAGGTATTCTGGCCAATCGAATAGAATGATGACCACTTATCAAGAAAATGGAGAACAATAAAATCTATATAGCCATTAGTTCCATGTGTATATTTTTTTAGTTGTAGATAGACACAGTATCTTTATTTTTATTTATTTATTTTTATGTGGTGCTGAGGATCAAACCCAGGGTTTCACGTGTGCAAGGCAAGCACTCTACCACTGAGCTACAACCCCAGCCCCCATGTATGTATTTTAAATCTGTGTTATGTTAGATCAAAGCTGTTTTGCAGCTTTATTATCAGGAACATAAATCATGTATTCAAAACAAAGACAACAGACTAATGGAGATTTCTGATTCTGGGATACATAATAAATAACCTTTACTACATCTCAATATTAGAATTTTGATTGTTACTTAATACTGTAAAGTTTTGCCAAATGTCACTTTAATTTTAAATGAAAAATTTGAAAGAAGTTTGATAATTTATCCATTGATTTATGAAGAACTAAGTAAGGGTAAACTTAAAACTTTCTTTTACCCTTTTTAAGTATGGACAGTGGAACAAAGTATCCTAAAATTTTTTTACTTTCAAAAAAAACTTACGAGGGCTAAGGATGTATCTCAGCAATAGAGCACATTCATAGCATACATGAGGCCCTGAATTCAATCCTCATCACCACACACACACAAAAAAAAAACTTAAAAGAGACTGACTGAGTCACTATTAGAATAAGTCTCTGATTAAAGTGATTTATTAGTGGTTCTAGAGTAGAGAAAACCTTTGATTTGTGTTCCTGATAGTTTAGAATGATATGTATATGTTCATCTCTGCATATCTGCAGAATCTGTATATGTTTTCTGTTACTAATTTATATTTCATCTTAATTTGACAGAATCTTAGTGTCAATTGGTGAATCATTTGGGGTGAGTATTTTCTTCTAACAAAGTATAATGGCACAAAATATTAAGTAAAAAAAATGGCAGTATGCCACAAGTGCTCTTGTATGCCCTTGTATCATCCTTTATTTGGTGTTCTTGTAGTGGAGTATCTGTTTACTGCTCTCTACAACTTATAACTATAAAGGAAATTAAAGATTTCTTTAATTTGAATTTACAAATGCTATTATTTAAGTACTTCATCCAAGCATGTTAAATGGAATTTATATTTATCGCAGATTTTAATATCGAATCATATTCAAAATTTTAAGTGAACTTCAGAATTGTCCCCTCATTTTCTCCCTCTCTCCATATGTATTTCTTCCTTACGCACTCCCTATACCCACCCATCTTTCCTTCTTTTTTTCTTCCTTCCTTCCTTCCTTCCTTCCTTCCTTCCTTCCTTCCTTCCTTCCTTCCTTCCTTCCTTCCTTCCTTCCAGGACTGGGACTTGAACCAAAGGGTACTCTACCACTGAGCTATATGCCAAGCGATTTTTATTTTTTATTTTTAGACAGAGTCTAAGTTGTTGAGGCTTGCAATCCTCCTGCCTCAGCCTCCTGAATAGCAGGGAATACAGATGTACACCTCATGCCTGGCTCAAAACTGTTTTATAAACATTCCTCTGAGATTATATAATATAGAGAAACTCATATATGTACATATATTTGTGAACTATTTTAACTCATAATACGTCTAACACCAAATGGGTTTTTTTCCTCAAACCCACCTATTCTCCAACTGTCTATACACAACTGATGTCCTACAATTCAATTCAGTTTAGTTTTGTTTTTTACCAGGGGTTAAACCCAGGGGCACTTAACCACTGAGCCTCATCCCCAGCCCTTTTTATATTTTATTTAGAGACACTGTTGCTTAGGGCCTAACTACATTGCTGAGGCTGGCTTTGAACTCATAATCCTCCTGCCTCAACCTCCAAAGCTTCTGGGATTACAGATGTCTGCCACTAATATCGCACTGCACCCAGCCTCAATCCAGTTTTGACTCTGATTACCCAGAGTTTGCATCAGACACCATAGGTTCAAAGTTCAGTCCCATAAGACTGATGCCAGTCACATGTGTCAGGTCTATAGGTTACACCATACTGCAACCTGGAGCTGAACATTGTGAAATGTATTTGTTCCCAGTGCAATTTAAACATGAATTTAGCAGTGTTGTGAGGCCAGGCTATTTGAGGACAAGGCAGTTCTTCAGTTGTTTGAAACTCTTGTTTGACCATGTCTTGGCTAAAAATCAGGGAGTTCCTACAATACTTCCCCCTTTCAGATTTTATCATTTGCTGGAATTGCTCAAAAAACTCTGGAAAACACTTTACTTATTACTGTCAGTTTATTATAAAGGATACAGATGTGCAGCCATATGAATAGGTACTTAGGGCATGGTCCAGAAGTGTCCTTAGCTCAAGAACCTTCTGTCCCTGTGCAGTTGCCAGCTCCATTCAATCTTCAGCTCCTCTCCCCACCCTCTGGAAGTTCTAAGTTACTAAGCAAGGCTGGGTCTTTCTGGCAACAAACCCCCATCCTGAAGCTACCTAGGGGCCCAACAAGCATCACCTCATTAGAACAAAAGATGGTCCTATCATCCTTGTCACTCAGGAAATTCCAAGAGTTTAGGAACTCTGTTCTCCTAAGCAAGAGAAAGACCAAATATCATTTTGTGTTCCCACATGTGTACGTATATAATCTCAGAGGAGTGGTTACAAAATAGTTTTGGAAATCAGTTACATGAATATGGTTTAAAATGAGATACTCCAAAATGGAAGCACCATATCCAGATGTCACCATCCTGATCTCCTTATACATGTTGATATACACACATATAAACTCACTCTTGGATGCTTCTTCCTCTCAGACTTCCAGGCTATTCTTTCTCTGGTATATTTATTAGGAATTGGTAATATATAAGACTTTCCCCAGTAAAATTGGTAGGGCTTATGGTAGTCCTAATGAAAGCTTAGCTTTGGAACAGTTATTCTAGGCTGAGAATCCACTACTCTATTTGGCTTCCATTAACATCTCTAGTGGAGCACCACTAATTCAGCAGTCAGTGTGTTGTTATCAGTATGTTGCACCATCCTGCCCTCCACAGAACTTGTATTCTAGAGGAATGGGAAGAGTGCTTATATTATTTATTGTTGAAAAATAGATTACCCTCAAAATTAGTGACTTAAAGGAACATTTATCTCACTTCTGCAAGTCAGTAATCTAGGCTTCACTTAGTTGAACTTTTTCATAAGATTTTGATCTAGCTGTCAGCTGGGGCTGTAGTCAGCTCCAGACCCAACTGAAGGAGCATCTGCTGGCAAAGTCATTCATAATTGTAAGCTGATACTTGATGACTTTGGGCCAAACTTGTCAGTTCCTTGCCACTTGGGATCCTCCACTGTGCTCATTCATATCATATAGCAGCTGTAAATATGCCCCAGAGCCCAAGAGCAAAGGCTTTAAGAGCAAGGTGGAAGTTAGTATTTTTCCAGCCTAATATTGAAAATGACATTCCATCACTTTCCTCATATTATTTTGGTTATAAGCTCAACCCACACACAAGGAGAGGAGGATCATATAAGGGTATGAATACCATGAACTGGAAATCATTAAGAGTCACTTAAGAGGCTGCTGACCACACTCCCCAAATGAAATAACTAGAGATAGGTAAAAGTTTATATACTAAATGACCAAGTACTAAATATACATTGTAAATATTCAATGTTATGACATTTAGTTTAAGATAGGCTGCACATCACAAGGGAGATGTGGAAACGTTCAAGTAGGGTTGGGGCTGGATGGCTATAAAATTGAGGTCTTCAAACTTCTTTGCTTGCCATACCTCTTAAAAATCACTGAGAAAATATTGTATATACTTCCATAGTTTAAAGTTAGTAACTAAAAATCTTAAAAAGAGGGGCTCATTGAGTGCTCTAAGTATATTTTCCATCAAAACCTACTTTTGCACTTGATTTCTGGAAAATAAAACAAACAGCAAAGCTAATTCTACTGTCAAGTCTACCAGTTAAACCAGATTTAATTTCTATCAGAAAGTTTGGCTACATCTTTCTTTTTAGTTCAAGTAAACATGTTAATATACATCTCAGACATTCACCTCATTTTGTTTCTAAAATTGATAGCTAAGTAATATATTTTTTCCACATATTTGTCCATTGGATAAAATAAGGTCATGTGCCCACTTGATACTTTTTCCCAATGCTTTTTTTGCTTTGTCTTGACAGTATTCTCCCTCCAGAGATATCTCAAATTATCTCCAGTAATACTTACGGAACTCAAAATCTGAAGTCTTTTGGATATTTGTTTATTTTTTAAATTTTGAGAATTAGCAGTATTTCAACAAATACCATACTTGTGGTGATTTAAATATATAAACTACATGACTTGTCAATCTAATGCCCATAAAATAAATTTAAAAAATATTGTTTGCTGAACATATCCGGCTTATCATATTCTTGTGATCTTCTTTCTTGTTATTTAATATCAAATATCCTAAAAATCCTCTGTCAAAAAAGAGTTCCAGGGGCTGGGGCTGGGGCTGAGCGGTAGAGCACTTGCCTAGCAGGTGCAAAGCTATGGGTTCGATCCTCAGCACCACATGAAAATAAATAAATAAAGGTATTAAAAAAATGTAAGCATAATATACTTAAAAAAAAAAAAGTGTTCCAGAAAGCTGCCCAACTTTGCAGGTGAGTTCTCAAAACAAGGAGCCAAAGCATTCAGACTAGTAATCAGATTTGTTAGAAGAACAGTAGGAACCTCATGGGGAAAAAAATAGGAGAATTTACAAGGGGTGGGTATTTAATGGACAAGAATTGGTATACTTATTCTGAAATGTTTTTATTTGGTCCAATAAGGCAGAAAGTTAAAATGAAAAGATGTACTTCTGCCTAATTTTTTTACACACCTCAGACTATGGTTAATAGATGCTAACTTCAAAATGCTGACATTAAGTGATTTACAATAAAGAATTATGTAATTTGTAGACTTCTGAGAAGTTCCAGAAAATAAATCAGATGGTGTGTAACAGTGACCGTGTGCTCAAAAGAAGTGCTGAAGGAAGCAACCCTCCTAAACCACTGAAAAAACTACGCTTTGACATTGAAGGATCAGATGAAACTGATGGAAGGTAGGAATGTTTTGGAATGTTTCCCAAAGCCCAGAATCTCAGTGCTGCCCCTCACTCCCACCAGACCTTCCTATACCAATTTTATGTGGAGGTTTAAGGATGGTTCAGATTAATAGGTGTGAATGTAGCCCAAAGTTAAAAGACCACAAAAATCAGATATCATTTTCTGAAATTCAATAAAGATATCATTTTTTTAAAAATTTATAAATAAAATTTTGATGGCTTCAATATTTGAGTTAAAAATATTTACTCTTTGCTGAGAAGAAGCTTTTTAGTTTGAATCTATCCTATTTATTGATTCTTGATTTTAATTCTTGCATTATAGGAGTCTTATTAAGGAAGTTGGAGCCTAATCCCATGATAGAGATTTGAGCCTTCTTTTTCTTCTAATAGGTGCAGTGTCTCTGGTTTAATTCCGAGGTCCTTGATCCACTTTGAGTTGAGTTTGTGCATGGCAAGAAATAGGGGTCTAATTTCATTTTGTCGCATATGGATTTCCAGTTTTCCCAACACCATTTGTTGAAAAAGCTATCTTTTCTCCAATATATGTTTTTTGGCGCCTTTGTCTAATATAAGATAACTGTAATTATGTGGGTTAGCCTCAGTGTCCTCTTTTCTGTACTATTGGTCTACCAGTCTATTTTGATGCCAATACCATGCTATTTTTGTTACTATTGCTCTGTATTATTGTTTAGTGATGCCACCTGCTTCACTCTTCTTGCTAAGGATTGCTTTAATTATTCTGAGTCTCTTATTTTTCCAGATGAATTTCATGATTGCTTTTTCTATTTCTATGAGGAATGTCATTGGGATTTTGATTGGAATTGCATTAAATCTATATAGTGCTTTTGGTAATATGGTCATTTTGACAATATTAATTCTGCCTCCAAGAACAAGGGAGACCTTTCCATCTTCTAAGGTCTTTTAATTTCTTTCTTTAGTGTTCTGTAGTTTTTGTTAAAGAGCTCTTTCACCTCTTTTGTTAGGTTGATTCCCAAGGTTTTTTTTTTTTTTTAAAGAGAGAGGAGAGAGAGAGAGAGAGATTTTTTTTTAGTATTTATTTTTCAATTTTCGGTGAACACAACATCTTTATTTTATTTTATGTGGTGCTGAGGATCGAACCCAGCGCCCTGCGCATGCCAGGCGAGTGCGTTACCGCTTGAGCCACATCCCCAGGCAGTTTTTTTTTTTTTTGAGGTAAATAAAGAACCTACATCTTCAGAACAAATTTTTACCACTCGCACATCAGATAGACCACTAATATCTAGGATATATAAAGAACTCAAAAAGCTAAACTGCAAAGAACAAATAGCCCAATCAGTAAATGGGCCAAGGAACAGAACCTCTCAGAAGGTGATATACATACAATCAATCAACAAATATATGAAAAAATATTCAACATGTTTAGCAATTAGAGAAATGCAAATCAAAACTACTCTAAGATTTCATCTCATTCAGTCAGAATGGCAGCTATTAAGAACACAACAATAAGTGTTGGCAAGAATGTGGGGAAAAAGGCACACTCATACTTTGCTGGTGGGACTGCAAATTGGTGCAGCCAATATGGAAAGCAGTATGGAGATTCCTTGGAAAGCTGAGAATGGAACCACCATTTGACCCAGCTACCTACTCCTCAGTTTATACACAAAGGACTTAAAAACAGCACACTACAGGGACACAGCCACATCCATGTTTATAGCAGAACAATTCACAATAGCTAAACTGTGGAACCAACCTAGATGCCCTTCAATAGATGAATGGATAAAGAAAATGTGGTATGTATACACACAATGGAATATTACTCAGCAATAAAAGAAAATAAATTATGGCATTAGCAAGTAAATGGATGGAGGTGGAGAATATAATGCAAAGTGAAGTTAGCCAATTCCTAAAAACCAAATGTTGAATGTTTTCTCTGATATAAGGAGGCTGATTCATAGTGGGGTTGGGAGGGAGAGCATGGGAGAAATAGATGAACTCTAGATAGGGCAGAGGAGTGGGAGGGAAAGGGAAGGGGCATGGGGGTAGAAAAGATGGTGGAATGAGATGGATATCATTATCCTAAATACATTTTGAAAACACGAATGGTGTGAATATACTTTATATACAACTAAAGATATGAAAAATTGTGCTCTATAGGTATAATAAGAATTGTAATGCATTCTGCTGTCTTATATAACAAATTAGAATACAAAATAAATAAATTTTTAAAAAACTTACTCTTGAAAAATACTAATTTCTTTGTTTTATAGGAACCATTGAAAAATATAGAATCATAAATTTGTGACATTTTTATTTTAGATGGTTGACTCATCAACTACTCAATAAAACAATATCATCAAATATCACTGAAATCACCATAGAAATTTGAGTTTTGCATTTATACACATGTATGTGAAATACTTTGTTTTTTAAATCTGCAGTAAACATCTCCCAGGGGAGTCCAAATTTCAGCAGAAACTGGCCGAAATGAGTAAGTACTTATTTCACCTTATAAATATGAAAGAAACAGTTATTTTTATTGCAAAAGCCTTTTGCTTCATAAAAGAATACACATAATTCCTTTTCAAGTAGCAGATGTGTTTATGCATTTAAAATATTTTTGTTGAGAGTATTTTATTTACCTCACACAGTTTTTAATTAAATGTATGCTGCAGAATGAAGGTCTTTGTCACCCTAACATCTTAAGTGCAGGAAGACTAAGAAGCGAAATGTTGCCTGACCACATCTTCAATGTAGTGCATATGGTCAAAAAATACTGTATGGCAACAGAACCATCATGAGGAGGTCTTTTATGTATGAAGGACAGGAAAAGGTTTCACAAACCTAGCATATCCTCACCCTCATTTAAAAAACACTGTCTTATTCTGCTTTAAAACATGTTCAAACAAAAGTTTTCTATTACTAAAACTCAGACTTTTGGTAAAGAATGCCAGGTTATTTTCTAAGTTTGGAAATAAAATTGGAATGTTGACCTGGGAGTATCACTCAGTGCTACAGCATATTTGCCTAGGATGTGTGAAACCCTGAGTTCAATCATCAGCCCTGCCCCCACCCAATTTTTTTTATTGGGGATGGTGATACTAAGGCAAATGGAATCCTATTCTAAACTATTCTGAGGCTATAAAAGAAAATTAATCCAAGTATAGTAGATGGCAACTCTGTAGGAAAAGATAAATGTTCACAATCTACTGCTTGGTTGTTTTAGGTAGGTAGCTGTAACAGTGTGACAGTTTCTGATAAGTGGTGTCAGATCATTTGTAGGAAAAGAATCTGGAACTTGTAAAAGAAGAATGTTTAGAAAATGAAGGTTGTTAAAATAGTCATTCCTGGGTCATAGGACATCAATGAGAACAATATCAATTAAAGCCTAAGAAGAGGCTTTCAACTGTCTTCATAGATACTAACTTGGAGACATAAAGTATTTAAAAGAATACTTTTGGTTGATTCTTAAGCCATTTTTTCCCAATGTATTGCGTTACAATTAAAACTAAATATAGCAAACATTTAATTTGTTTGGATTTTATATCAACTGAAATATTCCTATTTTAACTTTTAAATAGTTGTGGTTTTTCCTCCCAATACATGAAAATAAACATGAAGCTTATAACCAAAATCATGCTGTGAAGACATTTGGAAGCATTTTGGAATGTACAGTATGCATTTAAAAAGGAGCAAAAGCCTATAAAAACACGTATATTTTCTTAAAGAGTTCCACAACTGTAATCAGTACATTTCCTGGTGACACACTTAGCTACGATACAGTTTCCTCTTCCAGGTCAAAGTTCATGGATTTTGTGCAGATGGAAAATTCAGGACAATTAGTGGGAGTTTTAACCCCTGAGGCTAAGGAAGGTATTCACCAGCTTGCTTAAAATAATTTTATTCATTATTACTGAGGGAAGAATAGAAGTTCATTGGATTAGACAAAAGGGTTTTATTTTATTTATTTTTATCTATCTATAATTTTTTGTGGTTTTTATTTTTGACCCCAGGGGTGCTTTACCACCTGTAGTTATATCTCCAGCTTTTTTTTTTTTTTTTTTTTTTTTTTTTGAGACAGTGTCTTGCTTAGTTGCTAAAACTGGCCAGGAACACTTGCAATTCTCCTGCCTCAGTCTCCAGAGTATCTGCAATTACAGGAGTATGTGACCAATCCCAGTTCTCAATTTTAATATTTGCTTAGAGTATTTTAAAATTTATACACACATCAGGACATTTCATTAGTACGTGCTTTGAAACACTTTAATTCACATGTTGTAGTCAGTTTTACTCACATGACTTTAAAAACTTTGGAGACCCCTGCCTTTGCAAGATTTTGAGCTCCATTAGTTTGACATGAGCATAATATATATGGCAGCCCCTTGCCAACATACCCAGTACCATCAACACTATTAACAGGTCGTCTTCTCTTTTTCAGCATCTACTCGAACACGAATGCAAAAACAGAAAATGAATGATAGCATGGATACCTCAAACAAGGAAGAACAGTGAGGATCTCAGGACTTTGGTGGACACTGTGTATACCATGTATGCCTCTGGCTTCATTATCTCTCAGAGATGTGACTGTATAACTCTCCCAAGTTCTGTTTACAGCCACATTAATATCTCTTTTTTGTAGATATAAAATGTGCAGATACAAGTTGAATATTTGTGTGGGTGATTCCTAAGCCACTTTCAATGTTATATTCAATGGTATATGCATTGTTATTATACAAGATTGAAAATCTTGTGTAATCCTGCCATTAAAAAGGTATAGCAGATCATCACATTTCCAAAGTAAAATTGCTCTGCTTTATGAATGAATTGAGGCTGCCTCTGGAGTGGGAGTACTAATAACCCATGCCTGTCTGACTACTTTGTCTTCCCTTGTAGCATATGTGTGATGTTTGCTCTTGGTTTTATTAATTTATATGTATATTTTTTTAATTTAAAAATATGAACACCCTTAGAAAATGTGTCCTGTCTTCCAAATGCAATTTGACTGACTGTCCATTCACCCAAATTATCTTAAACTCTTCTGCTAAAACAGATTATTATTAGAAACTAGGAAAAAATTAATTTTACACATTTGATTTGATTTTAGTATTGGAATCTGATGTATTATGTGCTTTTTTACAAATTTTCTTTTACATACAAGCAAAAAACAAAGTACAAACATGATACTGTCATACTACTGACACAGATTTCATACCTCAGAACTTATAATAATTTCTTTTCTTTATCCAAACTCATGGTTTAAAATGCATATTATTGTAATACTCTTGGTTTGGGGTTTTTGTTTTTGTTTTTTACCATTCATATCACTGAATTTTTTAAGTACCTATCTGGTACTTGAAAAAGTAAAGTGTCCAGTCAGAGCTTTGCTGAGGAGGACTCTAATACAGTATATCCCAAGTGCACTTTCTAATGTTCCTGGGTCCTAAAAAAATCAAGATACAAATTAATTTTATTCCATAGCAAGTCTGTTAACTATAGAAGCCTTGAGGGTTTTTTTTTAGTTTCCCTTAGGGATTTGTTTAATTGCATCTCAATAATTATTCTGCCCTCCTAAATTTGGGAAGGTTTGTGTTTTCTCTGGGATGGTACATGTCTTCCATGTATCTTTTGAACTGGCAATTATTTATCTTTTATTTTAAGTCAGTATGGTCTAACACTGGCACATTAAAAGCCACATTATCTCTAGTCCAACATTGCAAGTAATCAAAGGTCTTGTAAGTTAGGCATTAATTTTTCTGATTTTATGCAAAAGCTTCAAATTAAAATAGCTGCATTAGAAAAAAGTGCTATCCCCCTTCCCCTACACCTAAAGGTGTGTTTAAACCGTCTTGTGTGATTAACTTATTTAGAGATGGTATATATAAAATAGGTGGTATTTAAGATAGCATCAGCTAGCATTTAGAAAAATCATTTTGTCTAAACTCAGAGTTCTTTTTAAAAAGAAATCTGGTCTTATTTCTTAGAAAACAAAATTTTCTGTTTAAACATCAAACTTACTATTTTGACAGTTATCTTGATAACAGGCACTAGAAAGCTTTACCCCATTTCTTTTTTTCTTTTTTTTTTTTTGCATGAATAGCATACAATTCAGTTAGTTTTTATGTCAAGGGCTTACCATATTTCTGAGTCTTTTGCTCATAAATTTACATTAGAATTAGTGACAGAATTTTAGGAATTTCAGAGATCGTGTATTGAGATTCTTAAGACTTCAGATGTTGCTTTATTGCTTTTTTTGTACTGGTTAAAACTGTACATTTAAAATTGCTATGTCACTATTTTCTAAAACTAATAGTTTGTCTATTTTAAAATAAATTAGTTGTTAAGAGTCTTAGTGGTTTGATGCTGTGGTCTTTTTATTAGGTATAGCAGTGTTCCCTTTGGTATGTAAACTGTCTTCTACTATCTCATCCGATGAATTCAGTATTTAGTGGACCCTTTCTGCTGCTGATTCCCAAATTTGTTTCTCCAGCCCTGACCTGTTCACAGAAATTAAACCTATCATAGCCAATCAAACTCTCAATTCCTACCCCACTCCAATTTCTCACAATTTAAGTCAAAATCAACAACAATATCTTGTTTCTACTCTAGTCTTTCCCCATTTTTACTAAACACTTATCAAGCAAAAAACTTAAGAGTCACCTATTAATTCCTGTCTGGATCACTATTTATTCATTCATTGTTAAAAATCTATAAAGCTGAAAACCAAGTGGTCCTGTGTGTTTGGAACTAAAAATCATATGAAACCAGAATCTTATCTAAATTGCCATAGTCTTTAACCCACTTACTAGAAATATTCATCTTTCTCTCAGAAATATTTAATGTTTGATTATCATGAGCTAAGGCCCTATACAGTCTTATATATCATGTGGTATGTGTCATTTTATTATTATTCTTAACTCCAAAAATATATATATAATGCAACTAGCACACAGGTTTATTTTTAGTTTATACAATTTCTCAGAAGTGGGTGGAAAATGCAGTGCTTTCCTTCTGGAACAGCGAATTTATTCCTGAAGGAAGAAAGGCAAATAAAGAGGCTAGAGCAGGACAAGCAGCAGGTGAATCTCAAGAGGCTGTACTCATATTGCATGAGGATCTTAAATGAAATGTTGTGTTAGGTCAAGTCAAAAATCAAGCAGCCTTAACAACACTAAGCATTTTTGTCTTGGTGATGGAAAATTAATCACTCCTGATAATTTAGCATTCTAATTATTTAAACATTCATTATAATAAAAGGAACAAGTTCAAATTCATGTATTTTACTTTTCATTACAGTTTTCTGGCACAAATGGTGGAGGGGAAGATCCTGCCTTCTATTATTATCTGGATGATCGCATAGAACTTGCTTTTAAAGGCATATTTTTGTTCCTCATTTTGGGACCAATGTATTGTACATATCAAGTTAAATATTCAGTAGAAATTCCCTCTGGACTAAATTGGTATTTTTAAAAAATATTTATTTTTTAATTGTAAATGGACACATATCTTTATTTATTTTTATGTGGTGCTGAGGATCGAACCTAGGGCCTCGAATGTGCGAAGCGAGTGCTCTACCGCTGAGCCATAACCCCAGCCCCTAAATTGGTATCTTATAGAAAACTTTGCCACACCACAAGGCCAGGTGTGGTGGCACACACTTATAATCCCAGCTACTAGGGCTAAGGCAGGAAGATCACAAGTTGAGGCCAGCCTCAGCAAATTAGTGAGACCCTGTCTCAAAAATAAAAAGGGCTAGTGTGATGTAGCTCTGTGGTACAGGTCTTCTGGGTTCTATCCCCAGTACCATTACCAAAAAAAGAAAATAGTCTACCACAGATAAAGTTTCTTAAATGGAGACATTATGGTGCCATAGTTTGTATGTCAAATATATGGCAAAGGCCACATGTTAAAGGGTTGGTTCCCAGGGTGGCACTGTTAGGAGGTGGTAGCAGAATTTTTGAGGGCTGGATCATAATGGGAGGTTCTAAGGTCACTGGGGGCATGCCCTCCAATAAATTATGGGATACCATGCTTCCTGTCTCTTTATGTTTCCTGGCTCGTGATATAAACAATTTGCTCCACTATGTACTCTTGCCAAGATGTGCTGCCCTCACCGGAGCCCCAAAGTCATGGGGCCACCTGATCTTAAGCTGGAATTCCAGAACCGAGAGCCAAAATAAACCTTTTTCCCTTTATAAGTGAATCATCTTAAGTATTTCATTATAGTAACACAATACTGACTAATACATATGGTAACACTATGTAATGTGTAAATGAGATAAAAACAAACTCTTTTAATATGCAGCTGAGAGAGTCATCTGTTCTCATAAACTCTTCTGTTCATTGTTTTGAGGCTGTACTTACATATTAGAATTGACATGTAACACTGATAATTTATTTCAACGTTTCCTGTGATAATTTTTCAAAAAATATATTTTTAGTTGTCAATGGACGTTTATTTATTTATAAGCAGTGCTAAGAATCAAACCCAATGCCTCACACATGCTAGTCAAGGGCTCTACTACTGAGCTATACAACCTCAGCCCCTCTATGTGGTTTAATATGAAAGATTAAATGTATTGTACAGATCAATATCAGTTACTTCCTAAATAGAAAATGTTATGATTTTTATTTAGTTAAAGTTACTGAAAAAAATCTAAGTTTTATATTTCAATGTTTGGGTAAAGACTGAATATAAAAATAACAGTAAAATATGATTTTTCCTTTTTCTTCACAGTTTGCTCAACCTATTTGCTATGAAAATGGAGGAGGGGGCTAATAAAGAAGGCGAGGTTACATAGTTTATGGTTGCTTCTTTTCATTCTCACTGGTTAAGAATTCTGCCTCTAAATAAAACTCTACATGTTATGGTCCATTTATAGTAGCTGTACACTAAAGAAGATATTTAATATTCTTAACCTTTGCTTTTTAAAATGAATTAAATGGCGTCTTAAAAAATGTCTATCAGCAAGTGAGGATACTACTTCATTCCTACAGAATCTTGATTTTTCTCTGTACATCAGGATAAAACTATATTGGAAACATTAAGACATTGAACTTTTCTGTGGAAGTAAGAGATGAAACAAAACTTCAGGCTAGAAAAACTTAAACCTGTATAAAAGAAAAGATTCATTCATTTCTGATGCAGAGTCATTTTGAAAATCTACCTGTGTGTCACTTATCACTAATAAACAGAATATTCTGAGGCTTTGTAAACACTCATCTGTCAGAAGGAAATAAAGGAAGGAAATCTTTTGGAAGTGTCGGTGGCAAGTCTGTCCTCCAAGACCAGAGAGAAAACATGTTTTTTCAGTAGATGTTTCCACCACACCCAGGACTCATCTGTCATCTCTCACAGTGGTCTAAAATTAGCTCTTCCTTATTGTTTGAAGTCATAAGTTTTACGTGCTAAACTACTTGATTCTCATCCCTGGCAGAACATCAAAAACACTTATGGAGCTTTTTAAATACTCTGATTTAGAATCCTCAAACCTATATTCTGTAAAGTCCCACAGATTACTCTGCTGTGCACAGAGATAAGGAGCACTGAGATGATATTGTACCCCTACAATATGAGAGCACTTAGAGAGAAAACATGGATACAAATCCAGAGTAACAACTTGTACCCTAGGAGTATGACTACTGACCTGTTATGAAGCCTGGTAAAGGGTAGTCCATTTATCATTACTAAATAAACTTCTCTGTTCCCCTTTCAGTGTTCCAATTTTTACATGAAATGTTTATTAAAAGGGGGAGGGGCACTGAGGAGCTAAGACCCGAAATGCAGGTGGAACACAGGATTTATAGAGCAGTGAATCCTGTATGGCATAATAATGATGGCTACATTTCTCCAAACACATAGAATGTGCAACAGCCTTCAGGTGATGATGTGTCAATGCAAGATCATCACCTGTAAGAAATACACACTGTGGTGGGGGACCCTGGTAATGAGGGAGGCTACACATGTGTGAGGGCAGAGAGCACAATAGGAAATCTCTGAATCTTCATCTCAGTATAGCTATGAACTTAAAACTGCTCTTAAAAGAAAGTAACCTTGTCAAAGGCAATAATATGAATAGTAACATTTATGTTTTAAGTAGGCTTTGCTATAAGACATAACTGAAAAATTTCCTTAAAAACAAACATATATCACATGGAAATACATATATCTGAGACGTGAAGTTGATATTTTATAATTTCACTGCTGCTTAGGGATTAAAAATGCATTTATTCTATTATCTGCAAATAAGCAATTTATTATTATCAAATAGTTCAGCATCAGAACAAGATTTACAATTCTAAAAGGGTCTTCTTTACATAACATCATATTGTGAGATATATATTAGAAGAAACGAATACTATGTCCTGTTCCATTTTCTCTTTTGCAATTGAGTAACTTGTTTTGATCTAAAAAGTATAAATTTCTCTCACACTTGTTATGTAAGTATCATTTCAGCTAGTACAATTATACCAGTGCAGTTTAAGAGACCTGTTTTATAGTGACATATGATCAACTGTAAGAAAAACTCATAATCATTTTTACTTACAAAGGCAAATCATCCTTAACACAAACAAAAGCAAAGGACCTTGTTATGCATTTATGTAAGGCAGATGAACCCAGAAATAACATTCATTTGAAGGTAATACTTCATATCCAATAATCCCATATGATAAATTAATTACTCAGACTAAAAAAAATTAAAATTAGCCCTTGGGCCTTTGACAATTTAATTGCTAAGGCCTTTTGTGAATTCTAATTAGTGCTCTAAATTAGCCACTATTTCTCAGAATGATGTACCAGAAGACTATGAACCTCAATAATTATAAGCTGTTTTATATTTATCCTGTATAACTTCTTTATCCAGTATTCCACAAATAAAGCTGTTCTCAGATCACCTTTAAGATTTATAATCAATTAACTGAGTGCCTATTATATGCAAGGCACTGTTTTGGGTGCTGAAAATGTAGTAGTGACAGCATTCTTTGTCTAGTGAAGTGCGTACTACCAGCCTGCTGAATAATGGAACACCTGGCCAGAGGAGCATATACCAATATCCCAATGAATCAAAGTTGTCCAACTGATTCAAAAGAGGAAATGGTAAATATAAGACATTTGCATTGTTTTCCTTGAGCACAGTTGCATCTGATGAGAGTATTCAATGCTTTCTATGTAAACTTTGGATTTAGGCATATGAAAAAGACTGATTCACATCCTTCTAACAGAATATAAGTATTCAGCCAAAAGTAGCTGATTCTACTGTTAAACTGAAGTGAAGCTATTCACCACTGGCTTTTTTGCAGGGGAAATGGAAAGGTTCAAAAACTCTTCTTTTCCACAGATGGGATCAATTTTTAAAGGCTCCAACTCTGCTGGCTTTGCTAATGAAGTTCTTCAGGAGATCATGGTCCATTTCTGCAAAGCCTGAAGTTTGTGTCACTACAGTCAGATGATTTATGCAAAACCTGAAGCAGAAGTCTTCTAAATCCTAGAAACAACAATAACAAAGGCTTATTAGCAAGTTCATATTTCCCAATACAGTGCAATATAGCAGGAGAATTCCTCAAATAAGAAAAAAAAAAAACTGGATAGCCAATAGGAGGAGATACTGATAGAGCGATACCTAAGCAATAGTTACAGAAAGTATGTAACTAACATGAATCCAAGCTTGTAAATATTTAAATAACAGAGTAAAACCTAGCTCCCTCATACCAACTGGTGCAGAGTCTGGCTTTTTCTTCCCAGAGATAAACACCTAAGTATATGAATTATCCAGTACCCTTTCTAGTGACAGTACTTGTATCATTCATTCCACCTTTAATATTTGTTAAAAGCACTACACTCCCTTTTTTATGTTCCCTGAGCACTTTAAATATTTCTTACCTACAAAATTTTTAAAAGAAATGGGTGAAGCCATAAAAATTAGTAATGATGGGAAGTTGCTTCCCTTAAATCATTAACAGGCCACTGTTGTTTTTCCTTTGCAAGAAGACAAAGGATGGGGAATGGGATGGATGGGTTTTGTCATACTACACTTATCTTCAATAATCATAACTGCACAGTAGCCCAGTGTGTGTCTGGGCCCTGGATTCAATCTGCAGCACTAAAATAATTCTAACTTTATTATTTTTGCAGTGCTTGGGATTAAACCTAGGACCTCGAACATGACAGGCAAACACTATCATTAAGCTGCACCCCAGCCCCCAGTTGCTTTTCTGATCTGAGGATAAATGAAGCCAGCCTGCTGGGACCTCTAAGAAGCCTCAGATGTTCCCTGGGCTGCTGCCATGTGACACAGCCAAGGGGCTACCAACTGGTGATCAATTTTATATATATATAAAAATATTTTTTTGTTAGATGGACACTATACCTTTATTTATTTATTTTTAATGGTGCTGAGGATGGAACCCAGGGCCTCACACATGCTAAGCAAGCACTCTCCCATTGAGCCACAACCCCAGCCCAGTGATCAATTTTTAAAGTTTCTTCTCCAATGTTGCTCAAACTAATTTATAAAAACTAAAGTCCTAAATAATTTCCAAGTAATTACATATGCATGTTACAACTGTGGTCTTTTTTTATTCTTTAGGCACATATAAACTACAGCAAATGCTGAAGACAAAAATGGATCAAAATTAGCAATTAAAGAGAAAATTGGCGATATTGATAGCCATGTCAATGCCTGTAGTACATTTCCCTTTAAGTAAGAAACAAACTACATGAAGATAACTATTATTTCATCCTAAACATAGCTGGGTTGATCACACCAGCAGTGACAGTTCAGTCCGAGGCAACCTCGCAGTGATAAAGCAGGGAAAATTCACACCCACGCTTGATATGGTAACATGTTCCTAATATGTGCTGAATACAAATGTGCTGACTATCCCAATATCCACTTAAAATCATGTCTCTTGCTTAACTTTTAGGAATAACCTTTTTGCTGGCAGCACACGCATGTGAACCAAGACAGAAATGCACTGAAAGCTTTGGCTGAATTCTGCCAAGGAATTGAAGATCCCATACCCACCCCACTCACACGGCAGCATGAACACACGGAGGTAGGCGGCTGGGCAACTGGGAGTCTTAGGAGATATGGACAACACAGTAAAACTGCTAATTAGTAAGAGAACTAAAGGACCCTAACAAGTTATCACTTGGATCCACCTTTTTTTTACATCCTAGAATGAGAATGTCCTATAATTATTATAAGGACAGGACTTTGAAGGAGTTCTTGCAATATAAAAATTTAAGAACTGGCATGGGGGCACTAGTTATAAGGGAATTCTATCCATGTAAAACAAATCCCCATCCATAATTATTATTATTTTTTATTTTTATTTATTTATGTACTTATTGTTAAAAGAACTGTAGTTTATTTTAAATGCTATTACTTATTCAGCTTCATCTTTTAAAATAGCTCCCTTAATTCTGCTGGGCAACTCAACCACATTTCCCTAGTTCACTCATTCTCCTACATGACTTATACTTTCTCCCATTAAACCCCAATAACATAACTTCCCACTTTTCTAAGGAAACAGCTCTCTAAGAGGATCCACAAACTCTTGCCATCCTGTATTCTGGCCTCCCTGGTAGACATCCAAGGCTGAATAGCCAGTGATGGATGGAAGACTAGTCCCTGGCTCTCTGACTAAATCCCACTGCCCTACCTACTCAAGGACCCACTCTAGTGGCTGCACCATTAACTTATTCTCTTTGTTTTGTTTTCTTTTGTTTGAGAGGCAGATACCAGGGATTGAACTCAGAGATACTCCACCACTGGGCCACATCCTCAGCCCTATTATTATTCAGAGACAGGGTCTCACTGAGTTGCTTAGTGCCTTGCTTTTGCTGAGGCTGGCTTTGAACTTGCAATCCTCCTGCCTCAGCCTCCAGAGCCATTGGGATTACAGGTGGGCACTACCACTCCAGGCCCATTAATGTATTCTCTTTGAAAGGATCATTCCCATCATTATACAAACACACTTCAATTTCTTTCATCCAAACAATTAAAAAATGTCTTACTTGACATGCCTCTCCTGTTTCTCTTTATAGCCAATATTACCAAGAAAAGTTGTCTCTATTCCCATCTCCAATTCCTCTGCTTCCATTCTCCACTCAGGCTTTACCCCCCTCAATGAATTGAAGCAAGGTGACCAGATTGCCTGTGGCAATCTCACTGCCCAAACCACTAGTCAGCTTCCAGGGCTC